GGGCGCAGTTGAGCAGGAGCCCAACAAAATTCTGTGTAACAACAAAGATGAAGTGAAGGCAAGGATTATGGCAGCATTGACTAATTTAAACAAGACCGTCCAGAAGAGATGCAGGAGTTTCCGAAGTCTTCTAATTTTGATAAATATATCTGTTAAAATGAGATGTCAGTCTTAATTTCATCTTTGCATAATTTAGACGACAATTCATCCATTGCACCCTGAGGCCGATGAAAGGATTTCGAGAGATGAAATAAATAATAATGATAGTAAAACTAATAATAATTATTGTATGTTAGTAGGCTTTTTCGGCCAAGTAGAAGCATGGCGAGAAAAGATGATAAAATTCAGAAATTTCAGATACGATTTAAAAATTCATGTATTATATGACTGGTTAAATCTAGTAATTTTAGACTATTCTGCATCTCTCTTTGATATATATATATATATATATATATATATATATATATATATATATATATATATATATATATATATATATACACGTTTCATTAAATAATATAGACAAGTGATGTCTATTTATTTTATGTAATTTTTTTTCGTAATGTCTGATAAGTTTAATAACATTATCGTTGAACGAAGAAAGAAATTCACAATATTGATCCATAATTTTTTAATACAATCTATGATTTCGGCTTACATAAGCCATTATCAAAGATGTCAATTACAACATATTAAGCAATATACGGACAAGACAGTGATGATAGTCTGTCATTGTTTACATAGATGTTTTCTAAGCAACGATAAACACGTGCATATAAGACGCTAGAAGCGAAAATCGCACCGCATCTCATGACGTCACACATGACCACACGAGAGTGAATTGGAGAAGTATGAAGCATGGGAAGCCGTTGGTATAAACCAATGGCATCTGTTACCAATTATAGACATTTAAGAATATTTGTAGAGATGCCATAATTGATTTTGTTTATGTTGGGTTTCACAGCTGAAACCCAACCTAATCAAAAATGTGTTATAAAAATATGGATCAATATTGTGAATTTCTTTCTTTCTTCGTTCAACGATAATGTTATTAAACTTATCAGACGTTACGAAAAATAATTACATAAAATAAATAGACAACACTTGTCTATATTATCTAATGAAACGTGTATGAATGAAAAGATGCTGCCTAAATACACATATATATATATATATATATATATATATATATATATATATATATATATATATATATACTATGCGTGATTATTTTTTTGTATATAAATTATATGCTGCCTAATGTTTTATGTTTATAAAAATCTATCGATCCGCAGTACGAAAAAATTCTTATAAAAAACTACTACTAAGACATAATACTATATTAATTGAACTATATACTTAGTTCATGACATATTTACTGGAAACACTTGTAAAAATAGAATACGTGGATTTATCACATCACAAGAAATGTTCAAATAAAATTCTCACCTAATATTTTGAAAAACTTAGCGTTGCGTCTTTGCACGTTCCGATATTGTACACAACCGTCAATAATAGCACACACTCAAAAGAACATCTTTCGGTCTACAAACAATTATTTCGTCTCCAAGTTTTTGTTTTCTAAGGAAAAGATATGCCTGACGATGAATAAAGGATTATTCGAAAGAAATTGCATTTAAAAAAAATTATAAACTGGAAACAACAGTCAACAATTTTATAAATGAGGATCACATCACTCTATGGATTAACAGTATTTTAATGCATACATTATACACTACTAGCGATGGATGCCGCCAATAATAGTATTAATATTGCTGATTGATTCTATGCGTGATTATTTTTTGTAAATATATATATATATATATATATATATATATATATATATATATATATATATATATATATATATATATTAGGCTAATGTTAAGTGGAGGGCATTTAGACGTGGTGCAATGGTACTCAGTAGTGAAATCGAACTTGCTTTCCGCATTCTGCCACATCAAAACTACACTAAGCAAATCGCCGTAAATGTAACCCGATGAAAGACATTCGTAAGTTAAGAAAATAATAATGCTGCCAATAAAACTAATAATAATTCTTGTATATTCGTAAGCCTTTTAACCAAGTAGAAACATAACGAGAAAAGATGATAAAAATCAGAATTTTCAGGCACGTCTTCTCCCTTTTTCTGGGAGATATAAAATGCATGTATTATATTAGTGGTTGAATCTAGTAAGTTTGTGCAATTCACCATCTTTCTTTACTACACACACGCATATATATGTATATATATATATATATATATATATATATATATATATATATATATATATATATAATCTTGACCATGTCTCTTACACCCTCCTCATTACCCTCTCTTAAATTACAAATATTTAATACTACCCATCAAAAGTGTGAATTTTCATTTCATTTTAGTTTCATCTTTTGGAAGTGCTATCTGATGATCCAGCGTCCTTTAAATGGGCTCTGGTGAAATAAATTATTATAATGGGACCTTAAAGTGTTATGTTTTATATATATATATATATATATATATATATATATATATATATATATATATATATATATATATATATCAGTCTAGTGGTCAACTCACACATCTGGTAGAAGTGTTAATCACCGATCGGATAATTCAAGATGCCTCAGTTTCTTAGTTCCTCACAAAATTAAAATATTATTCTGATAATGAAACTTTTTTGCCAGAATAATTAGTGGGAAAGGAATTATGTCCAGAGTAAACCTATATCTATCTTACTCGTCCACTTAATTCTCTCTTTCATTTCGCTTGACGCCTCCATTACAATCTCAATGAATAACTCTTTATCTTGTGTGACCATTAGAAATGGTAAACTATCAGTAAATAAATAAAAAAATTGTTTCCTTCAAATTATTTTCTCGATTCGTTTCTTTCATTTTTTCCATTCCTGTTTTTGATAATGTATAAATCCTTCTAAGTGACCAGAATTTCGATCGAAGATCATCGATAATTTTAAAGTATTATTGTTAAAAACAAGAACTACCAAAGAAATCGCATTGAAAATAGATATTACTAGCAGCATGGCCCAGCGTTGCCCGTGCTTAATTAAAAAATCGTACGACTCATACAGCAATCGCTATCACTTGGACTTAGAATATTTTTGCCCTTCCTTACGTTTAAAGGAGTGCCCTTTGCCATGCTGATGTTGCTACATGCCTTATTTCTTGCTTATCTCACACTGCGAATTTTTTCTAAGTTCTATACTAAACATTAAATCTTTTACAAAAAAAGAACTAAACAAATGAACACAAAACGATCGGCTTTAAAAAAGGACATGTAACTGAAAAAAAAGAATGTTAACAACAAATACTTTTTCACACACATTCCAGTCCTGCGGACTCAGAATCAACGTTGAATTTAAGCAAGCGAATGAGCCAATTAGAGTAAAGTGCCATGCTGATTTAAATTTTTCCCACTTGTGACGAATGCACCTATCGATTTTTTTGCACGCTAGCATGCTAGTTAAAGTTCGTGTCAGTCAACTGTTGGCTCTCACGCTGGCCAATAGAATCTTCCTGCGTATTCGTGGCAGCCAGCTATTGGCTCTCACTCTGGCCAGTAGAAAATGGCCGCAACCTACATGGAAACTGCCGTAGAAGCATGAAAATATCGATTATTTTCACTATCGATGGGAGTTGGGAAATGCAAAGTCGGTGTTGGCCTTCCCGCTAACTTGGAGCATGTGCATGTATATTTTGGTGCAAATCCGTCGAAAATTGCGGCCGTGCATTCGTTACACACACACACACACACACACACACACACACACACACACACACACACACACACACACACACACACACACACATCCTGCCTTTTATAGATAGAGATGTGTTACCACAGGGAGATTTGTGTGCGGTGTAATGTATAGCGTCGCTTTCTTCATGCAGTAATTTTCACTCTGTACGAGACTCGAGGGCCATTCGAGGTAGAGGGCTAGAGTGTTAGAGGCAGAACTTATGCAGATAGATAGAGGTTGACTCGAAACTTGAACATGTGAAGATTTGACGAATATGAATTCAACTGAAAAGACCAGCATGCAGATAACTGGTGAATGACCAGATTTCAAAATAAAACGTCCTTCTTTTGTTATTACTGTGGTAACCTGACCCTCTCCGCTAGGGTCAGGTAACCTGTTATGATGTTAATTTGGGGTTAATAAAGACAAACGCCAAATAACATGTAACAATAAAATGGGGTTTATTCGGTTGGTAAGTTGGTACAGATATCGCCTGAGTAGTCTATAACTAACTCAGCCCAAGAACTTCTTCTACACTGTCTTTTGACATGCCACTATTTAACGTCCTTGTTTGTAGACGAGTTCATCTTCAAGAGGGGTGGTAGGTTCCTACACAACATAACCAAAGAAAGAAAGAAAGAAAGAAAGAAAGTAAGAAAGAAAAGGAAGAAAGAAAAGGAAGAAGAGAGGAAAAATCTGTCAGAAAAAGAGTGAAAACAAATTCACAAAGAAAATGCTAAAGTAAAAGAAAGGAAAAATAGAAATTATTAAAGCAAAACAACAGAGAAGGAAAGGAATAAAGAATGAAAGGAAGTATTAATTTGAAAGAAAGAAAAAAGAAGAAAGAATGAACGGAATCAAACAAGAATGAAAGGAAATGGAGAGGAAGAAAATAGCAAAGAATATAAAACTAAGAAAAAAAGAAAAGAAAAGAAAACGCTTAATTGAAAGTTTAATAAAGGAGAGGAAAGATAACAGCAGAGAAAAAGAAAGAAAAAAGACTAACAAGAGAGAAATTGTTAAAAAGGAAAGAAAGTTAAAAACTTTCTCTTCTTTTGTGTTAAATCCTTTCTTTATTTTTTCCTTCTCACTTCTTTTTTCTACGTATTAATTCTACTTTCGTTTCTCCTCCTTTATTTTCCTTTTTTTCCATTCTCTCACCTTCAGTTTCCGTGTCGTCCGTTTTTTTCACTTTCATAATTGTTTATTTCTTTTTTTTTTATATCTATTCTGCCTGACGTAATGTTTAGCGTCTCTTTCGTTCCTTCTTCAGTTTTCTTCCTCTCTTTTCCTCCATTCTCCTTTCATCGCAAATTATTTCCACCCGAGTCTTGCTTAATTTGTAATTTCTTGTCATCATTACTCTTCTTTGGACTTTCTTTCTTCACTTTCTCTTCCATATATTTTCGTTTTTCATACGTTTTATTTTTCATTTACTCTCATTCATTTTAATTTCTAGTTAACATTTTTACCTTCACGTTTCTTTTTTAAGTTTTCTCCGTTTTCTTTTTCACATCCTGTTTTTATTTCTTTTATATATATATATATATATATATATATATATATATATATATATATATATATTCTTACTTATTATAAAACGCAGATTGTCTGTGTGTGTATGTGTGTGTGTGTGTGTGTGTCTGTAACGTTTATATATTGGATCGGATTTCCTACATTTTTTAGCCGATTTCAACAAAACTTGACAGGACTGCATAAAATTACATTGTGGTGGTTCTAACGGCACCGAAAATGGGAAAAATACAATTGCTTTTTAACAAAATCAATTTGAAAACACGATTAAGACACATCGTGAGAATGAAAGGGGGACATCACATCGGGTTAAAAAACCCAGGTTGTTTGTGTGTGTGTGTGTGTGTGTTCCTTTATATATGGGATCGGATTTCTTACATTTTTCAGCCGATAAAACAAACATCCACTTTTTTTTTTGGGCAAGTATTGTCTTGCAAACTTTTTCCTTTATTTATACATTCAGAATGCTTTAAAAATTCCAGTTACAAGACAATTGTTTATAATAAAATTCTAATTCTATTCAATCGGGGGACTCATCATAACGATTGAAAACAACGTTTTTGTTTGAGTTTGGGTTTGACCAATTCGTAAAAAAAAACAAAAAAAAAAAGACATGCGTGTCTGTCAACCTAAACAATAATCTAACGATCTCTACTGATTGTACGAATCGAAAAATCGGATAATTCTTTATCTTTAGGGAAAGATAATTCCACGTACTTTAGGACCGTTTTTACAATTCCCTTTGCAATTTGTTACAAGGCAGATCAATAAGGCATTGGTTCTATTTGAAATTAATTCAATATTTAAAAGAAAGTATTAAGAAATAATTTAAAAATGCCGACGTATGAAATCTGATAGACAAAAAACAACAATATTTCGAAGATGATAATTATTAAGGAAAGAACACAGTACTTGTCATAAATTAATAAACCCAAATAAAGTTAATATGTTTTGTATTAGAAACAACGAGTGGAAAATATATTCAAGTCAGAATTCTAATTATGAATCACCACAAGCAAAATATGCATTTTTTTTTTTACTCTATTCAATAAGTAAAAATCATAAATTGTAAAAGATTACAGAGAAAGGCTACCTACATTTTTCACCCGATTTCAACAAAAATCTTTTTCTTTATTTTTACATTAAGAATGCTTTAAAAGTTCCATTTACAAGACAATTGTTTATAATAAAATTCTATTCATCAATCGATAGACTCATAACGATTGTAAACAATGTTTTTGTTTGAGTTTGGGTTCGACCAATTCGTAAAAAAAAAAAAAAAAACTAATTAAGACATGCGTGTCCGTCAACCTTAAACAATAATCTAACGATCTCTACTGATTGTACGAATACAAACATCGGAATCTTTAGGGAAAGATAATGAAATCTAAACATACAAAAGTCCTAACTAAAAATAATAACCGGAACGGGAAACTTCTTTAAATACACATGGTGTCCAATTTTTTTACTGTATTCAATAAGTAAAAATCATCAATTGTAAAAGATTATTATATATTACAGAGAAGGCTACTAAATGAATAAGATTTGTTAGATCATAATTAATAAACCCAAATAGAGTTAATATTTTTTGTATTAGAAACAACGAGTGGAAAATATATTCAAATCAGAATTCTAATTATGAATCACCACAAGCAAAATATGCAATTTTTTTACTGTATTCAATAAGTAAAAATCATAAATTGTAAAACTAAAAGATTACAGAAAGGCTACCTACATTTTTCAACCGATTTCAACAAAACTTCACTTTTTTTGTCATTTAGTGTTTCTTATTGTCTTGCACACTTTTTTCTTTATTTTTACATTCAGAATGCTTTAAAAATTCCATTTACAAGACAATTGTTTATAAAATTATTCTATTCAATCGGTAGAGACTCATAACGATTGAAAACAATGTTTTTGTTTGAGTTTGTGTTTGACCAATTCGTAATAAAAAAAAAAAAAAGAACAACTAATTAAGACATGCGTGTCCGTCAACCTTAAACAATAATCTTTGTCAATTTTATTCTTCAGTCTTTATGATGGTGGATACTTGATCTATCTCTTACGGTTATATCCCCGGGCAACGCCGGGCTCTACTGCTAGTATATACATATATATTGTCATTATTATTCATTCCTGATTTTCTTCCCTCTGATATTTTTATATTTTATTCGTATAATTTTGTTCATTCTCGCGTCCATTTATCTTTGTTTCTTTCTTTCGTTTATATATTCCTCCCACCGTAAACTTTATTCTTACATTCTCTTTTCGTATTTTTTTTGTCATTCTTTATTTTCTTCTCATCTTCATCGTTTTATTCTTTCTCTCTCTCTTCTTCCGTTCAGATTATTTATATTTTTTTCTTTCTTTTTTCTGTTTATTTTTCTATAAATTTTCTTTTTCCTTCTTTAAGTTCTTGTGTCGCTTCCATTTTTCACACTTTTTTTATTTCTTTCTAACTTTCTTTCTTTCTTTTCATTTTATACCCTTTTTTTGTTTCCTTATTTCTGTTCATCTAGCTTTTATCTTCTGTTTCGCTTCCATTTTTCACCCGTTTCTTTCTTTCTTTCTTTGCGTTTTATATCTTTTTTTTCTTCCTTCCTTCCTTCCTTCCTTCCTTCCTTCCTTCCTTCCTTCCTTCATTCCTTCCTTCCTTCCTTCCTTCCTTCTTCGGTTCATCTAGTTTTTATTTCCTGTTTCGCTTCCATTTTTCACCCTTTTCTTTGTTTCTCTATAACTTTCTTTCTTTCTTTCTTTCTTTATCTATTTATTTCTCCCCTGTCCTTGTTTTCGTCTTCCCTTTTTCTTCTTTCCCTCCTTCGTTTTTCATTTATCTCATGTTTCACTTTCATTTTTCACCTCTTTCTTTCTTTCATTCTTTCTTTCTTTCTTTCTTTCTTTCACTGCTTTTTTTCTCTCAACCGTCTTCATTTTCTTTCCTTCTTTCTCTCTCACTTTAGCAGTCTTTCTTTATTTAATGTTTCTTTTACTCGCTTTCTTAATTGTACACTCTTTCTTTCTTTCTTGCTTTCTTTCTTTCTTTCTTTCTTTCTTTCTTTCTTTCTTTCTTCGTTTCTTTCACTAATTCTTTTTATACTCTTTCCTGTCTCTCAATGTTCCTCATTTTCTTTCCTCCTTGCTCTTCTCCCTTTAGCAATCTTTCTCTAATTAATATTTCTTTTACTCTCTTTCTTTCTTTCTTTCTTTCTTTCTTTCTTTCTTTCTTTCTTTCTTTCTTTTCTGCCTTTCTTTGCGTTTTATATCCTCTTTTTCCTTCCTTCTGTTCATCTAGTTTTTATTTCCTGTTTCGCTTACATTTTTCACCCTTTTCTTTATTTCTCTATAACTTCTTTCTTTCTTTCTTTCTTTCTTTCTTTCTTTCCCTGTCCTTGTTTGCTTCTTCCGATTTTCTTCTTTCCTTCCTCCGTTCATCATCTTTCTGCCTTTCTACATCGTTTGTCGATTCTCTATTCGTTTCCTTCCGAGTGAACTCGTATTTTCGCACCAATAGATATTTCTTTCGCTAATTCTACGAAACGGCAAGAGTTGGTCGGGGTATTTGAATACTCGCGGAGACGATGGTCGCTGTTTGCTCGTGGGTAGGACTGGAGGTGGGGAGTCGAGGGCAAAGTGAAGTAATATCAACTTCATAAAAGAATTCGCCAGTACAGGTGGAAGAATGTTGTACGTAACAAAAATTCAGTTGAAGGACATAGGGGAGGGCATTTGCTGCGGTGGTGGCAAAGACAAAACCAAAGAATAAATGAAACAAGGAAGTTGATTAAATGAAAAGGAAGGTAAAAAAAAGAATAAAATGCATAAAATTATGCTGCCGAATCCCATATGAGGATTAGCGGCGACAATACAAATAAAATCTTGGAAAATGCTAAATTTTCGTAAAGTACCTAGACAACTCGGGTTATTTTTTTTTAATTTGTCTAATTGTTAAATTTGAGTGAAAAACAAGAGACTACAAGAAAAAAAATGCTCCCAAAAACTCACATTAAAACGAATATTTGACGTACATTTTAGTTTGATTAAATTTTATGCTATATTTATTTTGCAATTTTCCTAACACACACACAAACACACACACATACATACATATATATATATATATATATATATATATATATATATATAAAACACTCCTCTCTCCATACATGCATACGTACACACATATATATATATATATATATATATATATATATATATATATATATATATATATATATGTTATTTTAGGACATTACACCAAAAACATGTCCAAATCGCTATACAGTTGCATGAATGTATCTCAGCAGGCGATTGTAAATTTAATATTGCTCTTCTTTGTATTGAGCACTCTTTTAAATTACGAACACTGGAATTGTACTCTATTCGTTCTCATCTTAGCTGTATATGTATATATATATATGTATATAGACAGATATCGTAGAAAGCAAAAGACCGAATAAGATTTCCACAGTCGAGAAATGCGAAAGAAGAAACAATTCCTATAGAACGTAAGATTACATATAAAAAAGAGACCAAACTGACAATCGAGTACAATATTTAAAATCATGAAATCGGAGTAGCGAAGAGGAAACCTCATGAGCAGAATTGCAATGACACTATTATTGAAAAAAAGCACTAGGTACCTACTTTATGGCAGTGGACTGGAGATGTTTGGTCAATATTATTGAAATTGCAGAAAATTCTTTCCATTTTTTTCAAGAATCTACAGATTTATAGCAGTGGCACAAAGACAGATGTGGAAGCAATATTCAATGCAGTGAGGAATGGTAGACTTATAACGTGCAAGATGGATGCGCGAGACACAAATATATATCTAGTATTCAGATTTCTGCTGCATAATGTGTCGTCATCTTCTTTCAGGATATATGTGCTTCTAATGTTCTCTCTCTCTCTCTCTCTCTCTCTCTCTCTCTCATATCTGCCCATATCTATCTATTTACCTATCTATCTCCGCATATCTATCTATCAATCAATCTATCTTATATCTGCGCATATCTATCTATCTATCTATCTATCTATCTATCTATCTATTTCTTTTATATCTGCGCATATCTAGCTATCCATCTATTTGCGCGTATCTCTCTCTCTCTCTCTCTCTCTCTGTTTTATATATTCGCATATCTATCTACTTATCTATCACTTTTATATATGTGCATATCTATCTATCTATCTATCTATCTATCTATCTATCTATCTATCTATCTATCTATCTATCTGCGCATATGTAACTAGCTAGCAATCTGCGCATATCTATCTATCTATCTATCTATCTATCTGCGCATATGTAGCTAGCTAGCAATCTGCGCATATCTATCTATCTATCTATCTATGCGCATATGTAGCTAGCTAGCAATCTGCGCATATCTATCTATCTATCTATCTATCTATCTATCTATCTATCTATCTATCTATCACACTGATCGCAATGGGGACTATATTGTCATTGTGAACACCTCGATGCTTTTGTTGGTTGCACAATATGTGCTATGCCATGTCGACATTTATTTTTCTTCTCCTGGACTGGTTGCAACCACGGCTATAGACTCAATTTTGATTTCCATTTAACCTGCCACTTGGAGTGTGGAACAGAGACGAATTCATACGTTTCCTACTTTTATTTGCGCGATTGCGAATGTAAGAAACTTGACCGTAATTCGACCTTGAACCGCCGTTTCTCGAATCCCTGCAGCTCTAACCGCTACACCACCAGCACATACTCTTATCCCTAACTAAACAATATTCATCACTAACATTTTTAAATACGTCTTGTATTTGTATCTAAATATTTTCAATTTGCTCTGCTGGTGGTAAATACAGGGAAATAAAATTAGTTTACGCTAAAAAAAAAACAAGTTATTTTTATATAAGTTAATTTTGTTTTCTGACAAAAGAAAAAAAAAATCCTGTGGAATTAGAGCTTGGTTGATTATGTAACGTAAAGAAAACTGAGTTATGGATCTTTAGATTACAATATTATTCCCTGCTAAAAAAAAAAAAAAAAGAATAAAAAATACAGTGGATTTGGCCGTATCACCGACTAAAAGTTTCCTATTGAAGTCGTGTGGTTTGTCACAGAGTGGGCTCGATTGGCGTTGACGCATGCGCGAATGAGCTTACAAACGAACTGTTCTCCAGGTTGAGGAGAGTTTAATATATTTCGCGTTTGACGCTTCACTGGAACAGGCGGTTTGACTCGCTGTTCATCTTCTTTATTACTGAAAACACCGAGAGAGAACCCCGGGGCTAATCTCAATGAATAAGGCGCTGGACGGTGGCAAAAGGAATGGTGCTGGTCATAGCGAGCGTTTGTTGTTGCTGCTGATGGTGATGATCACGGTGTTGTGGTGGTTGGATGTGATGTCTACACAAAAGTAAATTGCGAATAAGATGGGGAGGAGAGGGACGTGAGTAGAAATGGTAAATTCGCTTGAATTTGCAGGAAGTTATAAGACTCGAGTTGAAAGAGCGGGAAGAATATGATTAATAAATGGAATGTTGACCAGAAGATTAGATAGAAAGCGATCGAACAGCAACGGAGACGATTACAACGTCAAAATGTTTGGTGGAAGGATGAATGCTGGTAAAGACATAATATGTGAGAATATAAAAACGGTGAGGATGAAGAAAGAAAAAAAAGAAAGATAGATAGATAGATAGATAGATAGATAGAAAGGTTTAAGTGTAAGAAAGAGAAAAGAAAGAAAGAAGCAACAGAATCAATATGGTGACTTACTCAGTGTAGATTAGATGTGGCACAAGGCCGAAAGTATAAAGCACCCAAATGAGGATCGAACTCACTACTCATTCGTAACTGGTCTATTGAGACAAGCTCAATACATCAAGACAATCATTACATCATTTTAAATTGCGCAAATGATTTTCTAATCGTATCTCAGACGTGGCACAAGATAGATAATTTAGAGCCCCCAGTGACGATCGATCTCAGTCGCAATTGATCTAGAGAGACAAGCTTGCTAACCATTAGACCATGTCGTAATGTTCAAATGATTTTCTAAGCGTTTCACAGATGTGGCACAATGCCGAAATTTTGGAGCCCCCAGAAAGGATCGAACAGTCGTAATTGTTCTAGCGAGACAAGATCGCAAACTATTACGTCAGGATGTCCTTTTTTACTGCTTCTAAACGTAGCTTTGATGTGTCACAAGGCCGAATATCTGGAGCACCCAGTGCAACGAAATTTATTATGCCACACAGAAGAAAGGAAAGAAAGGAAGAAATAAGTTTAAGTTAAAGAAAGGAAAAACAGAGATATAATTATGCCAAAGAGACAAAGAAAAAGAAAGAAAGAAAATTATTTGAGGAAAGAAAGTTAATGGTAAACGCATTCAAGAGAGAAAAAGAAAGTAAAAAGAACGAAAGAAAAATCTCTAAGTGAAAGAAAGGAAAAAGAAAAGGTATGATTATGGCAGAGATATAAAAGAAGAAAAAAGGAAGAGAATGAAAGAAAAAGTTTAATTAAAAAAAAATAAAAGGAAAGAGAAACGATGATGCCATAAAGATAAAGAAGAAAGAAAGAACGAAAGAGAGACAAAAATAAAGAAAGAAAAGGAAGAAAAATATGTCCGACACAGAAAGAAAATAAATACACAAATAAAAATTTTCAGTTAAAAACAAGAAAAAAATAGGAATTATTATAGCAAAACGACGAAGAAGGAAAAGAAGAAAGAATAAAAGAAAGTAAGTATTTTCTTGAAAGGAAGAAAAAAAAATAGAGGAATAAGATATCAGTGAAAGAAAGAAAAAAAAGAAGCAATGAAAGAAAGAAAGAACCGAATCAAGCAAGAATGAAGAAGTTAAAATTAAATATGGAAATGGAGAAAAAGAAAATAGTAAAAGAATATAAAACTAAGAAAAGAAATAAAGAAAATATTTAATTGAAAGTTTTAAAAAAAGGGGAGGAAAGATAATAGCAGAGAAAAAGAAAGAAAAGGCTAAAAAAGAGAGCAAAGGTTGAAAAGAAAGAAGGAAAATGGAGAGGAATGAGATAGCAGATGTATAAGTTAAAATGAAACATTATTTCAGAAAAATGCCAATAAACAATTGATGTAAAACTTATATATAAAGCACAGTGTATGTGTGGGTGTGTGTTTGTACGGGTGTGTGTCCTAGCAAATCTTCCGCTTCCACTGGTCCAATTTCAATGAACCATAGCTCATTTACAAGCCCTAGAAACGTTAGGCGCAGGGAACGATTTTCTTTGAACTCGCATTCAGGGTTGCCAGATTAGGCTAGGCTAAAAATATATATTAATATATTATACTAGCCATTATCAATGCTTTCATGGTTCAAGAGGAGTAACTCTAGAATAAATTTTAAGCTAGCTGCAGTTTGGGATAGAAAAAGAAAATAATAATAGGGAAAATAATTTCCTTTTCTATCCCAAACTGCAGCTAGCTTAACATTTTAAGCTAGCTTAAAAATTGCTCTATCGGGCGACATTTAAACGAGTTCCTGTGGAGGACTCTTGCTTTGGCCATCGTCAAAATATCTAGGGAGGAGTAGATGCGATAGGCATCAATAAACTACAGAAGAACTCAAAATTGATCGCTGCATTTAAGCATTGAATTAATGTTTAAGCTTACCTTTTAAAAGTTCAATGATAATTCTTCTGCTCCCGCTTAATTTAAAGACGATTTAATGCACGTAAATCTTTATTTTTCGTACAAACAATTATTTTTATTTCATGGGTAACAGAACTGGGGACAATTTATAAGATAAAATTGACATACTGTAAAGATGGGAAAATAGAAACTAAAATTATTTATACATTTAACATTTGAAGAGTTAAAGAAAAAAATATCTAATTAAGTAAAACCTATATTATGGAATCTATATGAATGAAAGCGAAATTGGAGCTTATTTCTTCCACAAATTTTGATATTAAAAAGTTCCAGCTCTACTTTATACTAATCTACACTCAAAAAGTCAATATCTGTATTATATATGATCAGTTACTAGGCAATATCACTCTTCAGTTTTAACTAATTTGCATATTGATTTTTTTTTTAAAAAAAAAAGTTTCTTTTATTGTCCTTCATTACTGTTCTTTTATTCGAGGATTGTTTCGATTTTCATATAAAAAAAATACTTCGGTCTTAAATATCGTCTTATATAGTGTAGAAAATTGTTCGATATGTGCATTCTACTTGGATTTAACAAGTTGGCATCTATTTGTAAAACTTTCCTTAACATTAACAAGCCAATTTAAAATTCATTTAAAAATCTTTTTTTCAAAGATTTCAAAAAGTGAATATATCTTATTTTGCGAAGTGATAGCGAGCTGGCGAAGCCTACTAGTCTAAAAAATAATACCCCCCCTCCAAATATAGATAATTGCTTCGAAAATACCACTTTAAATATAAATTTAAAATGAGCGAAAAGAAGAAAAAATAACTAGAAGTAAATAAACACAGGAAGCAATGAAGAGTTGTATGAAGACCCCCACCTCCCCACCAAAAATAAAGTATTTATGCCCTGTAGATATGTTGACTGCTTGATTTTGCTTAGCGGCATTTCAAACTTTATGGGTCATTTAATAACGAAATCTAAATAATTTGAGTTTTTAACAAGGTAGTTTTTAAGGTAGTCGGATGTTAGCCTATTGCTCAACTCCTAACCTGGAGTAACTCTGTGTGTCTTTCGTCTAGCTCCTACCCGACAGACCTGTTCAGCTTGTTTGGACCTGCTAACACCCGCCCTCATAGAGTCCTCCAAAGTGGAGCGTATGACGAGTGCTGGTGAAAATCACCCCGGGAAGGCAGGCGGTACGACATGGGCCGAGGTGAAGAGAATCGCCTGGAACCGCATCCGTTGGAGAGGTGTTATTGCAGCCCTATGTTCCCCAAGGAATTAAGAGGCATAATGAATGAAATAATATGAACGCAATTTTATGCCTATGTTATGGGCGTGTGTTCTTTAATGCATATATATTTTGTATTATTAATGATTCAAGAAAACAACGAAACTCCGAATGTAAATCAACAAGTATACATTGAAATAACATACAAAATATACAATAATTTGTATTCAATGTATAGATTAAGGGCAAAGACGTTGTTTCCCTTTACCGTATTTTGATTTGTATTTGATTGTTCGAAAGAAAGTTCTCTTTAGCGGGAAAGGTTCAGGAATCAATGTTAGAACAAGTTTGCTGTTAGAATAGATAACACAAAAATACAATTGAACAGAAAGTGTGTTGCGTTAGAGAAATCAACAGAGTCCTGGTTGATTGAACTTGGATGAGTCCCAGAGATATATGTATATATGCATTACAAAATTCTGTGTCTGTGTGTGTGTTTGAAATTTTATGAGTAAAGTCATAGGTTTGTGATGAGAGGCGAAATTTGCTCAACTCTACTGGCGGCTTATGAAAAGGTCGCCTCTTTTAAAGCTACAGGTA